TCAAACGTTTATCTATCTTAGCTTAACGTATTTAACTAAATGTAGTTAGCGGCCGTACTGTCAGTCAGTCGCAACAAATTCTTGGATAATATGAAACTAGGTGATGCTACGTGCCTCGCACGTGCCAATGGTCTGCAACGCGTTAAGAACTGTGACGGCTAGGCGCTACAAGGCGACGATGTCGACCCACAGATCTGCTATTCATTTGATAAGACCGTTGGCAGTACGCGGTGGACCGTTCACGAACCGTTTGTCGCCAAAATGAAGCGGAAAATTTAATAGTCCAGCGTGCTGTACGTGATCAGTGTCGTATTTTTATTATTAAACCACTTGACGTCCCACTTTCATTTCGCATCGGGAGAGTACTTATTTGTGGATGACATTTGGTTTCTTTTTATATATTTTAATTAACGGCCATACAAAACGTACGACACCTCGAAATTCCATACCGACTTGGCATAGTTCTACGAGAAGCACTTACGCTCGAGAGTTTCAAATTTATGAATGAAATATCCAGCGAAAGTTTTTTAAGGACATATAATTTTTATAAAGACAATTTTATAAACTAAATTTGGTAAATAGTTATTCTAATAAATCGGTTTAAAAATTTTGAACCATCGTGACATAATCCATAATCGTGACCAATGGTTTTTGTGTTGTCCCGTAATTCAGAAATGCTTGAGCAGTTGTGTAGTCATATTACTTAATCTCTTTATTTTTTAATCTTATTCTTTTTTATTCACTCCTTGATGTACAGAAAATGCTATATATAATAGCATTAAAGTAACACAATAAATAAACTACTCCCAGCTGTTTTAGATTTAAATAGAAAAATTTTGTGATGATATTGTTAATGATAATACAATTCTCAAATTGTAATTAATAAAAACATAAGAGTGTAATAAAAATCATAGCAGTTAAGCCTAAAACTTAACATAGCTCATAACAACTATGTACTTGACGTAATATACTAAAATATAGTATTATTAAAACTCAATAATTTAGTAGTAGTTTCCACGTAATGAAGATGTAATGGCGACACTACATTTCGCCCCAAGATGCTATAAGAGGCGATTAGCGGAACAAATCACTAATATATAGGTGTGAGAAAGGGAAAACTTGAAATAAAATCATATAGCAAGCGTCTTTACCATCGTGATAATAGTGTATCCTTTTGTGAGGAGAAGCCCGTGGCAAGTAGTGGGCCGCTAATGGGTTGATATTATGATAGTATCAGAGTTTAGTTTAAACTGAACCATAATGAGTCTGTCTAAACAAAAGTAGTAATAAAAAAAAAATTTTTTTTTTTTTTGTTCATAATAGTTAAAATTAATCTCCAACCGATGAATAAAATCTATGAGCGACTAATCCGTCCACGGATTAATAGAACTGTATATTTTAAATTTTTATTTTACTAATAAAATAGAATTTTAATGCGAAGGGTTGTAATTGATCTCTACAGTAATTCCAGACGTACGAAGCAATATCAGGGTCTCTAGTCTGTAGATATTGTAATATTGTAGAGAAATAACATTTGATTTTTTTTATGTTATATTTACCGATTTATAAGCATGTTTTACATGCCCACAGAAAGCTAAAATATAAAGTTGTATATCATTGGCAGTGCTGCGGGTATGAAGCAAGTAATTGTTATTTCCTTACTAATATTCTAAATGCGAAAGTAACTCTGTCTGTCTGCCCGCTTTAACACTGTCATGCAAAACCTACTAAACCGATTTAAATCAAATTTGGTACACATACAGTCAATGGTAAATCCTGAAAAAGAAATGTAATTAACATAGACTAATAAAATAGGCATTTTAATGCGAAGAAAAGGTTGTAAAGGGTTGAAAAAAAAGATGGAAGATTGTATAGAAGTATCGTCATTGAAGCTTGAAACTTATGCAATGACTTCGAATAATTTTAACGTTAAGTGGGTAAAATAAAATAGGGGATGAATGTTTGTATTGAAATTCGTCGTCTATTCCATGCGGACGAAGGCGCGGACGTAGCTAGTTCATAATATGTATTAGATAAGTAGTACAACTAAAGGAAAAATGTTTTGTAATCACGTTAGACAGGCGGGTGGCGACATTGGCGACGCAGTTGGCGCCGAACGCTGCGGTGATACCGTTGCGCTTTGCGGGTTGCTATAGTTTCGGCGTAATGACCCGCACAGGTGGTCACCGCACGAATGTAGCAGGTCTTAATCATCCACGGTTACCGACAACACACCAAATAGAATTGTACCTATTATATTGAGAGTCGTGTCAGTACAAGGAGGATATCGATTGGCTTTTATAAATTTTGTAAACTTTAAATCACGTATCAACAAGAGTCTATGTCGGATATATTTGTATTATTCAATTATAATAACATTTAGAATATATATTAATTTCCGAAGTATGTAAGTACCCAAACATATATGTATAAGCAATCTCAAAATATTTTCCACTCAAGTATATTTTTTATGTATTTGGCATGGCTAACAGTCGACCCGTCTGAGGGTATGTATGAACAGCTAATCTAAAAAGATGGAGTCAAAATCAATATAACAATATTTTCTAATAATATATAAGATTAAGATAAAAAAAACCTAATGGGCAATTTAAATTAAGTTCTATGTAGATACGTCATTGAAAGCTAAAAACGAAAACTGGTTTATTATCTTTCAAAACTTAACATGTGTCTCTGCTTATAACTGATCAGCAAAAACCACTTCATTAAATTGATTAAAATATATTAGCATTTGTTTATCACGGCATTACAAATACATTTGACGCATTTTTTGTAAAGTGCACGCTCGTTGTTAGACATTTCTATTTATCAGCAGTTTTCTGCATAAATTTGCTACAATCTCCTCGGAATGTTTTAATTATATGATTTGAGTAATTGGAAAAATAAATAAAAAGTAATATTAATGGTAAAGGTAGTTAAAAATAATTTCCGTGTACAAAATCTAAACTTAAAATTATGGTTATAAATAATTTATAAGTAGAAGCACGAGTGGAATAACAAAATACTCCGTTTCAAGCAATATAACGGAATACGATATACTAGCATACTACCTCTATTTGAATTAGGATATAAAGTATCTCACATTAGTCAGAAATATGACCCATCTGTATACTAAACTTTTTTAAAATCCGTTATGTCGTCTGATCATCATCAAGTGGTAACACCCTAACATCTTCGTATTTTTTCCCATACTGTATAATTAGTAATTTTGATATAACATGGATGAGTTTTATATATAAAGCAACAGAAAAGTTTTACCAAAGTGCGTGATTATTATTTTAAGTTCCTGTTTTTATCGAAACAATCATTTGCAAAGCTAGAAGTATTAGGTACATTGCTAAAAAATAACGTTATAGATAATTGCGACCATATATATAATATGTTTTAACTTTCTTATACATTATAATGATAGCAAAGTTTACACATATTCGCACACTAATTCATACTATCAATTTTACCGTAAGGCCGACTCCTCAGTTACCGAGTATCGGTTCAATGTTACCGTTTTAGGAAAATAATTATATTTTTTACAAACCTACTAAAGCCAGTAGTCGACACGCAACATAAAGTGAATTGACGGGAGGCGGGTTAATAGCTGCTATTAGTGAATAGCTCTGAGAAATCGGCAACAATGAACACGAAAAATGCCTATGTCCCATTCATTAATTTTTTTTCTATCCACATAGACTTTTTTTATGTGTGTCAGTTCTTTTTCTTATTCGTCTGTAAATAAACGGGGCAATTTGGCCTCGGGCGCGACTAATATCATGATTAAATTATTATGTTCGCACGTTTGTGTGCTATCACTATATCATTTGCGTGTAACTTTCGAACGATTTGCGTCTATTATGTTCATTTGGGCAATAGACAATAGTAATATCAAATTATTTGCACACACACACGCGCATATCTATATATCACTTCTCTTATTGTAAACTTGTCATAAGATTTGAATTAATGCAGTTTTAATGTGGGTACTTCACGTCGTTGATTTATCACATAGTTTTTGTTTATTGTAATAATTTAAGACATGGTCCCAAAAAAACAACTTCAATCGTGATGAAATTACTGTGAGACTAACACGAAAGTAGAAAATACCGGTTGCAAAAAGTTATATCGAATTCTTTGTAGTAATTATAAAAATATGACGTAACATATACATGAAGAGCATATAAAAAATGAGATACAATTTTGAATGCGATGGGGACCAACGATGACCTGTATACTTTTTAATTAAAAATACCTACTCGTACATATACAGACAGTTATACATATAAACTAAATATATATTCTATATTGACACCTCTTTAAATATCTGATTATATACATTTGTAGTTATTATAAGAAAGTCGTTTGTAACACAGAAACCATAGGAAATTTTCCGATTTCGATCAAATATCACAAACATTCAAGATTTAAAAACCACCCACTCTAACTGTATTTACCAAAGAATCATTCAAATTTGGAACTTCCCTACATGAACATGTAGGTATCTTTATTTATTACATATATCCTATAAACGAACATATTGATATTCTGAACATATATCCTATAAATGTTTACAAGCAATTTCTTGTATATATATAGTTAGCAAACAAATAATTAAAATTACATTATAACCCACGCATCTTACTCTTTCTATGTCCATTGCTGAGTAACCACTACCGACGTCGTGTTACCCATAAGTTTTTAATCAGATATTCAACTTTTACTTACCTAATCCTACTTATATTATTTAAAAATATTTATCAGTTAAATCTTTCTTTAAACATAGCTTTCACCGGTCCGTTTAACAGTACACGATAAAATTCTAGGCTATAAAATTCCTATTTGTTACAATTTCTATATAACTTGTTTTATCTCATTTACTCGATCCCACTTTACAATAGAAGTAAATTAATTCAGAAGCCTCATTTCTGCTAAATACAAGCAAAACCCGTTAAGAGAATGACTAAATATCTAATTTGTTACTTCTTTTGCAGTCAACCAGACATGGAGAGGGCGACGATGGCGATTCCGAGAGCGGAGAGGTGTTCGACTTCCTACGAGGCATCACTACCGATATACTCCATCGGTTCTCGTAGTGTAGCCGGCGATGTACATGCAACATATTAGCGTCCCTAAATTTACGGCCAACGATGTCACTCGCAATAAACACCCAATGAAGTCCTTGGATTGTTTCCGACTCCTATATTTATATAAATTTCGTGGATACTTCCCTTTACTATTGGTGATATGTGCCTCATGAGGCCAGGTAACAAATTTTTGTACTTTTAGAAATTATAAACATTTTAATGTCGAATGGAAAAACGTATGAAATTCGCGTATATAGAATCCGATACCATGATCGTTAACAATATATTCTGAGTTAAAAAAATGAAATGCATAACTTGGTTATATATACATTTCCATACGGATATAAGAAATGGTAAATTTATTACAGGAACAAATAATAGATGTAATTCATCTTTCATGTTTTCTGAGAAGAAAATGTTTAAGGAATTTAATTTAATAGGTCACACACACAGCGTATATAATAATTTTAATTTCACATTAATAATATGTATTGGTAACGGTGCTATGCGTTACAAGTTTTTGGCATTGTAATTTAAAAGAAAGCCACTATGATTCACCTAACTTTTAGCTCTGCACCGGAGGTTGTCAGATTCGAATTTAACTACGGAAATCGCTTATTGTACTGGTGATTGCACATTTAATATATAGATAAGTATCTATGTTATTTTGCGAGTATCGCTCTCGCATTGAAGCCAATTTAGTTTTTAAGTCGTCTTCCGCAAATTAGACATAATATTATGTAGTCTCATTTCATTCCTTTTTTCCAACATAAGTTTTTTTGGAATCCTTTCTACTGTTATTGGCTTATAATAATTCAAAATTGTTTCGTAATATGCTCATTAATGAAACTTATGTTGATATTACTTAAGGTATTCTAGTAATGGTATGGTTGGGAACACGTGTATGCTAATAAAATACATAATGACATCAACTTTGCGTAACGACAGTGCAAGTGATAATTAAAGCTTGTAAATTAAAAATAGCAAGCAATAAAAGTCGCCATTTTCAGCTGAGACATAACGGGTTTTATAATCTTGCGATGTAATGCCTGTTATATATTGCTCTTCTTAACTAGCTGTTGGATACTTCTACAAAATAAAAATATGTTACAACTGTATATCAAAATTTTAAAATTAATACGGTGGTTAACTCTACCTGGACAATCTATGTGGACAATCATGCTACTTGAATCAAATTTGGAGATGTTTGGTTGAAGTGTAAAATAAAACAATCGTACTTCACTCGCATTGGATACAAAATAAGAGACTGTATAAATACGACGAATTTGACGACGTCGATGATCTAGCGGTTTAGCACATCGCTTTACTTCCGATGGTCGCGGGTTCATTTCCTCGCACGGTACAAATATGTTTATTCATGAGTACGATTATTTGTATCGGTCTGGGTGTTTTCTAAGTATAGTATGTTACGTGCAAAAAAAATCTAAGTATTTATATCAGTTGTCTAGCACCGATAACACAAGCTCTGTGTTCTTGTTAATTTTGCAGGATTATTTATTATTATTAGGAAAAAAAATACATCTTACAAAGAAATGCTTGCACAAGAAGCTCGATGAAACTTAAAAAAATGATCAACTAAGCGGCAAAGTTTACTTATAGCGTGATTCAAGCCGCGTGATTGTCTAGAAATCTCTTAGCATAAATGTCGATCGGATGAGCCACCACAAGCCACCACAAGCCACCTGCACTTTCCGAACGAACTCTCTCATTAGCAAACAATGAACAAGCCTCGGCTACTACGCGCTGTACAGTTCTAGAGCCCGGGTCCCATTACCTCACAAATTATATCGTCTCAAAACATATCTTTATAACTGTTGTATAATACACAAAACAATGTCTGGTATTTGAATGTAATTTGAATACTGAAGTGTTTATTCAGCCATGTTTAGGCATATTATTATTATTATTATAAAATCAAACTTGTATAAATAAAAAATAAAGTCAAAAGTGGCAACATCTAATATTTTACTACTGCGTTTAATGTGTATAAACATAAAACGCAGAACCTTAACAATTTAAAAAGATGTCATCAACATAATTTCTAACAGGACTCGAAAACTTTTGAATTATTCATTAAGCACATATATCGCCGTATCTCGTAAGAAATAAATAAAGAAGTGGCGCCACACAATTGCAATTAATAATATCCTTTCCATTAATAATGCAACGTTTTATAGGATATAGAAGTTATAGTTTGAAACCATGACTATATAGGCTATATAGCCAAATATTGCTGCAGTTTTTAACAGCATACAACTTATTAAGGCTCTTTACGTGACCCTATAATCAAAAGGAAATCCTTATAATCAACTAAGAAGAGCTGTCGCTTCGTGTACCCATCGACCGATTTTATTCCCACCGTCATACCGTCATACTACTCCGTAATCCCTGATTTTAAGACTGTCCACTGTTTAAGTAGTAAAACTTGTACCTGGGTTTTAATGAGCCTACTATGCACTGATTTTATAGTATCACTATCATTTATAACATTTAAAAAATATAATTCAAACTTGTCCAAACATATGAAAATGTATCTATCAGTATAATATATATGTCTCTGTATAATAATATAATAAAATCATATCAATGTGAAAATACACTTTCCTATAGATATTCTCTGATGATGATCATGAACAATGAACATACATGCAAAAGAAACTTTTAAATATTACAAGCGGGGACACGGGCTTCTAGTGTATGCGGCGATCAATAAACTGCTGAACCGATAAGAATGTTACAAACAAGCGGCTCGCGCTGCACACGCGCGGCCCGCGGGCGACACATCCATAATCCAGTGACGTGTGTTTTGACAGCTAAGTTGGACCACTTTTTCACCGTCAGTTTTTACCTAGTTTTTTATCCAACAGTTCAACGATCCCACCGTTACATATACGACGTTATTTTCATATATAATAACACGTATAAGCAACCGCTTCATTTCCCCAAACTTCTGCCACGGCGAGACCTAGAATGCGATCAAAAAACAACTAATCCGGCGCCGCCTTTAAATTACGCTTCGTTAACTTACGTCTCAGCTAATAATAGTGTTCGACTAATTTGCATAAGGACTATGAAACGGCGCCTCGTCTCTCTACATCACCGTTTATCTTGCCAAAAAAAATGTGTCATAGCCTACGAGAATAACTATTATGTTTTAGTTGCCAGTGTCTGTTGTATTAGTATATTTTATTTTTATAATGCTAATGTCAAACAAGTTGACGGTTCATTTGATCTAGACCATATGCTTACTGATATCGTAAGAGCGCTCCTCAAAAACGATGGAAGCGAACTAGAACACAGATCTATCACTCTTAGTTCGTTTGATAAGCTACTGATATCGTTAATGACTTGCCACTACAAAAATCACGTTGAAGGGCACTATATTTGGTCAGCTTCCTATCTAAAAACTGATAAAACATTACACATATTCGCAGCATTGTGAATAACTAGTCATGTAAGCGTTAAATTGTTAGATTATTTTTCTTTTAATTTGTATGTGTGTAATACAGTTAAATTTTATCAGATAGTTTTTCTAACGGTACATATAATATATTATGATATGCAGAAAAAATCTATTACCAACCATAAATATTCAAATCAAGAAGGCATATTATGCATACAAAAGAGATTATCTAGTTATATTTGTCAATACGTTTTACCTACTTATGGTATTATTGTCAATTATTGGTCATTTATCAAAAAGAAAGTTAACATAAAATTGTGATACTACGTTTTAGTCTTACTATCAATAAACAGTTGTTTCTAACTTAGAAACCTATTTCTAACAATGGAAAAGGTCATTCTTTCTATTGCAATAAGATTTTTAATTTAATACTCTTATTTTAATAATATAGTAAACTATATATGAGTAATTTTGTGCATTATAATTATGTAAAATATAATATGTACTATATATAGCATCGACGAATTAAATTTGGCCTATGTGTGTCACAGCGTTGCCCTTTTACTTACCTTATTTTAATAATTTTCTAGACTGCAGTTTCCAATACCACTAACAAAAGTGTAGTTGTCTTCATTATAGAGTATCTAAGTACTTCCTGATATTCAGATGGTATAATGAATAAAATGTGCCTTTTGTTAGTTTTTAAGAAAATAAGTACTTATGCATAGTGATTATACATATTTATTCACGTATGAGACACGAATAAATATAGAGTACCAATGTCCATCTACTGAATAATTTTTATTATGATTTGTGTAATGTAATCAATTCATAGGTTTATGTTAGTTATTTTCGTTATGTATAAGTATAATATAACTTACTAAATTAGCTTTACACAAAGACTGTTGTCAATAGAAAATAATAAAAATACAAATGGTACATCACACACTAAATAAATGGACTTAAATAAACAGCTTTTATTTAGCATTAAGGATTTAATATATAAAACCTTTTTTTTATACTGACAATATACTCCAACTCAAATACGACGGCATATAAAATGTGTCTAACATTTTAAAAGTCTAATTTCTGTGCATCATTATTTAAATAAGAAACCTTAATATAATGCCAATTACAAGTTATGTGTAAGATTGTTCTTACATGGCTCACATATGTATGTATATCGTCATATTTGAAGAAGAGTATAATGATAGAATCTTTTGTAAGTATGTGAAGACATAATAAAATATAGCATGTATTTTTTACTTACAGCTATAGTCATTGCTGTAACAATAAGGCTTTTTAGTGTCTATACATTTAATATTTTTATATGAAATGTATTATATTGTACAATACAACTGTTTATAATTGGTGGATTAATTCGGTCAGTCATTATGTAAAACATGTAGGAGTACCTACCTACATACTGAACACTAATTCTAAGACGTGTATATTCAATATGGATATAAATATGTGTTATTATTTCGCACTCGTTTTATTTTAAATTAGTTTGTATTATTTTTTGTTCAATTCCGCAACCACTCTATTGTTGAACAGCATATATGATTAAGTTCGCACATTCATTGAAGTCTTGTCAAATTAAGATTCATTTGACTCCGAGATGACCGTTACGTATGATTTATTCAGGTGAAGTTATTAACTCGCACCATTACTTAGTACCGCTGGTCATCACCCATTGACCCAGCATTTCTCCAATTAAATTACCACCGCAGGGTAAACGTTTTAGATACGCGAAACACACATGGAGCGTGGGTGCAAGGGAGGGATTCGCCTAACTATGGGAAAGATCGTTTGATAGTCATCTCCTCTCTAAATTAAATTAACGATGTACCGTCGTATCCTGGCGTAAGCAGATATCTCTGAATATCTAAATTCTAGCGGAAATACAGTGCGATTGTACTTGGTACAACTAATATCACTTACTGACAAAACCTTTTTAGAATTCTGTATAAATTCTTGTATAACTACTTACCTACCTCAAACAAAATGATCCTATATCAATTTGTTTGAGGATATGAAATTCGCTCATAATATGTCATAATTCCTGTGAAAGAGATGTGATCGCAGACAGGGGCTTCTCTTTTAATATGAAATATCTTTTTTTTCATATTTCAACATAAAAGCCTAACGCGTAGGTACAAAATATTTACAAAATACTGAAAGGATTTTTTTTAATTACTGTGGGTTTTACCACATGTTTGACCAATATGGAATTGGAGAGAACAAACATTATTACTAATGTGGATTGTTAGAAATGCACCCTGTAACGTGGAGCTTGCCTTGAATAGGCTAATTCACTTGACTTCGTTGGCGTAGGCGGGTCCACCATACCATTATCATCCATTAAATATATATAAAAATAAGTGTCAACCACCATACTCTATAATCTATGGATCCGTTGATATGAGAAACAAGATAATTTAATTAAACGTTATCTACTCGTTAAAGACAACACACGTATGCAATATTCTTATCGAATCCTATCAATATTCAAATCTAATCCAGGGTGGATAACCCTGGATAGGATTTCATGTAAGTACACCAAATAACATATCTATTATTTTGTATTGTTTCATCACATGATTACTCGTGCTTCGCTTCGGGTTGTCTTATTTTACCAATATTCAGATTGAAGCAATGATTGTGGCCCATTATTGGGCATATTATTATCATTACAGTCTACCACTTCGCACCAGAGGTCGTCGTACTTTGCAGAACTCTTTTCCAGATGACTTTTTTTGATAAGAAACAT